AAAAGAGGAAAATAATTTTCTGACCTGTGGATGACCCCTTCAACCCCAACAGGAAAAGGAATTTTAAAAAACACCTGAAACCCAGTTTTTCCAGTTATTAGCATAAATGGGACAAACTATTTTTCTTAGTGGCCAAATCCTTCCTTATAGGAAGTGCTGGTCTTTGAATTCAGTGAGGGGAGGGGTCATGTCTGCTTTACTGCTATATTCCCAACACCCAGCACTGACTCCCTCACGCAGAAAGATGTCAATGAACAGTCAAGAAAAGAGGGGGAAGGGGAGGGAGGGAAAGGGAAAGCAAAGGGAAGGAAAAGAAAGGAAGATGGAAGGAAGGAATAAAAGACAGAAGGAGAGAGGTCAGAAGGGAAGTAGGGAGATAAGAAAGGGAGGAAAAAGGGAAGGAAGAAGGAGCAGAGGAGGGAAAGAGAGAGGGAGGAAGAAAACAAAATAAATCCAGAATGAGATCTTTTCTCCTTTCCTTTTATTTGTGTCTTTATTTTTCTTGAACTTCCAAGCATCCAGCTCAAAGACAACGAATCATATCTTTTTTTAGGGCTTCCTGTCTGAAGCTATAAGATCGCCAGTGCAGTCAACTCTGCCACCAGCAACTCTCCACCGGGACCGAGTAGAGGGTGAGATGAAGCTAGTGGAAGTTCCTGTCTTCAGCAGTCATTTAGTCAACACACAAGAGGGTGACGGCCACCTCCAGTGTGTGGCACAACACCCCAAGGAGCCAGAGACCCAGCCAGTGCTCAAGGAGGCCACCATCTACCAGGAGACACGATGCCTAATTCGAGGTAGGATATAACACAGGCCAGGGGAGAGGGTCAGATAAAGCTCTAAGGAGATCAAGGCAGAGAGAAATTGCTTCTGCCTGAGGGGCTCAGGGAAAGTTGGAGAGGTGACACCTAAGGAGAAACCAGCCCAAGGAGGGAGGGGGGCGGGAGGGCACGAATCTCAGGGCAAAGACAGAGGCTGGTTGCACCACAGGCAGGACAGTATTTCCCCAAAGTGCTTCATAGGGTATATTCTACGAACTTCATATTTGGGAAACCATGCATCCCACACAATTGCACAGATGTCCCTACTGCGGGCCTTCTCAAAGATTTTAATGCTATTGGAGCAGAAGTGGCAAAAGATTCCATTTGTATATCAGAAAGGACTGGCTTTCACGTGAAAAAAAAAACAATTTGTTCACTTATTAGCTGTATTAACTTGAGCAAAATATTTAACTTTTATGAACCCCAGTTTTCTATTCTCTCACATAGAAGAATTGACAGTCTCAACGTCATGCAGTTGTTTTGAGTAAATACTACATAAAAAGTGATAAATTCAGTGCTGGCACTTAGTTAATGCCCAATATTATTACTGCTGCTTTTACTTCTGTTATTTCTATTATTATTAATATCAATGTGCATCCCAAATATAAAAATGAAGAGTCATATACATTATTTCTTCAACGAATTTATCCGTTTTTTATCAGCTACTTTTTTTAGAAATGCCAGGCCAGCATATAGTGCCAGGCCTAGCACACAGTAGGAGCTTACTAGGTATTCGTGGACGGAATGGGGCAAGAACCGACCCTAGCAAAGAGCAAATTGCAGGCCAGCAAGGGAATGCTCTAAGCAAGTTGTTTCTCATTATTTCTTTGGGCAACAGGCATCTGAGGTCCAGGAGTAATGACTTCATCCTTTGCTCGAAGAATGAGAGATTGAGAGTGCAGTACTGAACTTTGGGGAAACATCACAAAGAGTTTATTTTGGTGGAAATGTTTGAAGTGACTGTAACAATGAGCTCACGCCTGCTGCCAGGCGCCAGCCATGAGCTGGAGCCTGCTTGCCAGGGAGATGCACACAGCCAATAATAACCCACTCCACCTCCGTGGGACATATGCAGTGAGGATCCCAGAACACCTACTCCAAAGACAGCTCCCTCCTCTTCAAGAGGGCATACTGAGGCACAAACAAGGAAGCAGGTGAACCAGGATCCAAAGGAAATCAGAAGATGGAAGAGCCCAGAAAGGCCTGAGCCTTCTGGTTTTACTTGGTCAACTCTCTGGCAGGATTTTGAAGTGAATCCCAAAGAATACTTCTTCTTTTCCTTTTTTTTTTTTTTTTTTGTCAATGGCTGCATACATTTATCTAGATAACTTCATCTTTCATAAGTCACATGCTAATCTCATAAACAGGTCCTAGAAATGAGCAAACTTCACATAAACCCTCCCCCAGAGTGCAATGCAGGGATCCTATTAAATCTCTACAGCTTCCCGCTGGTTTTTGTGTAAAGAGATTCTTTGACAGAAATGGAGTCTTCTGGAGTAAGAAGCTGAACAGGTTTGGAATATGACATTTGCATTTTACCAAACTGGATCCTTATTATATGTCCACCTGATTTCAAGCAGAGAGTCTACATAGAGTTTGAAAAGGAAATGAGGCCATTTTAAAAAAGTAGTTGGAGGGGAAGATTTTCCATGGAGTCTAGAACAGAAAAAAAGACCCAAGAGTTAGTCAAGTTTTCAAACTTCCGATTGGGAGGTAGGGAGGTGCAGGGCAGACCATAAAATTCTACAGTAAGAAAGACCATACATTTAAAAAATATATATATGTTATGTGTATACACACATATAATGTATATACACACATATGTGTATATGCATACACACACAAATATATGTATCTCAGTTGTGAGCCATATAAAGAAAGTACATGGGCCAGAGATCCTGTATTCAATTCAGTTGTTACATTTCATTTGTTTTCCCTTAAATATTTTTTTCTTTTTCAAGTTTTTATTAAATTCCAGTTGGTTAACATACATTGTAATATTTTAGTTTCAGGTGTAGAATTTAGTGATTCGTCACTTATATACAACACCCAGTGCTCATCACAAGTGCCTTCCTTAATACTCATCACCTAGTTAGCCCATCTCCCTGCCCACCTCCCCCCCAGAATTGGTACATTTCATTTTATTTTAACTGGTAAACTTGGAAGTGGTTGGGAAAAAAGCAGAGTTAACTCTGGAAATTTGTCAAAGCTCAAGAAAGCTTCCAAGACCTATAGACATTTTTGTTCCAAAAAAGCAGGGTTGCCCAATTCCTCTTACACTAAAAATATAACAAGAGACTGTTGACAAGGATTGCACATTTTCTCCATTGTGTTCATTTGGGGTAAGAGGATGAAATGATCTGAATCTTGATTTGACCATATAGTTCACACAACCAGACTTGGCCTGAACATTTTACCAAACCCAATCGACACACCAAGCCCCTTATAGGGAGACCCCTTGTTATCCACAACCTCTCCCAGCTCTAATCCTGCATCCTGTCTTCTGAGAGTCAGAGTTCATGTTCATTCACCATGAAACAGGAAAAAACTAAATACTACACAGTACAGTTTCTGACACATAAGATACAGCAGAATGCCTGTGGACAACATCTGAAGATCCTGGCAGGGAGCCTCAGGTGTGAGAGCCAAAGTGGTTCCTGGTCTCAAGGGCTTCAATATCAACAGGGGCAGATTAGGAGCAACAAAGGGAAGGCAAAAGTAGAAAGAAAACAAAAAAGACAGGCAAGGAGAAAAACTTAAAGGAGCAAATCCAAAACTTGGAGGAAAGATTTGGCTGCCACGTGGCCAAACTCCTCCTCTCCAACCTTCATTATGATGTTTGTATCTGCACATAGAGGCACCAGAAAGTGCATTAATAGTTATTAGGTTTAGGATGAGAACAGTTCTGTAGGACCATGCTTTTAACCTCTGTTTAGATCACTGGAGAACTCTTGAGAATGGGCTTCCTTCAGTGAGATGAAGTTCAAGGCAGTTGCCATGGGACATCCGGTGTGGTATGTAGGAATAGCAGAGATGTGGTTTCATTTTCAAGGGTTATGAGCCACAGAGATTGGAAGCAGGTAATGGAACAAAACTGGTGTGTGGGCAGGAGGCCTCATTTTGAAATTATCTGCTGCTCTCATAAATGCATTAGTTTGGTGGATTAGGTGATGAGCAGTGGACAGAATAAAGAGGTGCAGATACTGAATAAAGAGAAGAAAATAACATTGCTTGCCTCTCAAAAGAGCGACTACACTGGCTATCAATTTGAGTCTTTTTTTTTTCCCAAGACTTGGTAGCCCAAAATCATACAATGAGCCCCTTCTGGTAAATTCATTGATTGAATTAAGAAATCACTAGATAGTACTGCATATTATTATAAAAAGAAGTCTTGCTTGACTTAAAGGAGAACCAATTACTGACTTGGACTCCTATCTAAGAGGAATCAAATCTGGGATGCATTTCTAAAACAAAATATTCATTTTGCTTCTTAATATCAGGGTGCACATAGTCAATGCTGAACCTAGTTTTACATTTGGTTCCATATGCTGTGCCCTAGGTAATTAAAGTATGTCTTATGGCTAATAAAAATGAAGTTAAAAAGTCAAAAACCAAAACAATGACAGGAAATAACATGTGTGTACAATATGTTACCAACACACTGATAATTTTCAAAAGTGACTTTAAAAAAAAGTATCATAAATCTTTCAAAACACAGTGATTTATTAAGCAAAAAGTCTGAGTGGTTTGCACTATTAAATTTAGCTTTTGAGTTGCTGTGTCACAGGCAGATCTTTTGTTCTCCTAGGTTAAATTTAGCCTCTTGGATTTTGTTTTTTTCCACTGCAACATGTTTTATCATCGCACAGCCAATTTTCTGAGCTGCTCAGGAGAAATGCTCTAGAATTTCACTCTGATTTCTCTTACTGGTTGTATAATCTGAGAATCAAATGTATCGAATAACCCAACAATGATTTATTTCCCATCTTCTTCTTTGCTCTTTCCCACCTATATGACTTTCCCATAAAATAAACCTTCCCTAGGCATGGGATGAAATGGAAAAAAAAAATGTGGTGGCCAGAGGAAAACCATTTCAGAAATGTGTTTGTTAAACAAGTGCAAGCAATAAATTGAGCTTAGGAGGGAAAAGCGGTTAGAAGAAAAACTGAAAGTACTGACCTGAGAGTCAAGCTGATTGGAGCAAGGGTGAAAGCAGCGATTTGGAGGATAAGCAGAAAGGAAAAGGGATAGCAAAAGAGAATAAAAGGAAGGAAATGCATTAGTTTTAAAAAATACAGCCAACAGATGTTATATTAGCAGGTTTAATAACCAAATGAAGGACAATAAAGCAACTTTTATCTGATATTACCCCAAAAAGCCCGGGGCACACACTGTAAGCTGTTCTACTAAATATTACACATAAAAAACCAGTATCCGCTCTCACGCCCTATCACTGTAAGCACGGCGTGAACCAGAGGTGTGCTCCCGCAACCCAGTAGCAGAATTTTCCCTTTACTGGAGGAATACTCATAGGGAAAGTTCCTATATGTGTCCATACAAAATTTTATTATTTAATAAACTGAAATGGAATTTACTAAGATATTAGAGCTAGTGGTAAGCACTGATGTCGGAAAGATTTTATTTGAACCAGGAAGTTAGACGGTTATATCTTATGAGCTAGTCTTCCTTCCTCCTTGAAAACCAAAAGGACCTGAACAATTTGGCTCTCTGTTCAAAGATTTCCATTTTAGATGCTCACAAAGCACTGCACCTCACAATGATCAAAAACACTGTGCGCAGGGCTTCAAGGGAGGTGCTGCCTGCCTATCAACCTCCCAAGAGAGAACAGGGCAACTTCCAAAGCTGAGAGTAGTTTTTTTTTTTTTCAGTTGTGAAAATGAGGATCATACTTCACCACTGAAAATATCCAGATGCTTGATAACTTATTTGTGCAAAAATATTTAACATGCCCTTCTAGTTAATCAAAATAATAAAGTCCCAAATCCAAGCAAAAATTAAAAGAAAAAAAAGTCATGATCTTCTTCAAGTTACCACGGGAGCATACAGTGGGCATTCATTTTGCGAACCTATATAATGTTCTTTGTAAAAAACAAAGTGGATGAACAAATATGTTACCAGCTATCTGCTCAAGGGGACCCCACCACTCCATACTATTAAGAAGTAATTTTAGGGGCACCTGGTTGGCTCAGTAAAAGAGCATGTGACTCTTGATCTTGGGGTTGTGAGTTTGAGCTCCTTGTTGGGTGCAGAGATTACTTAAATAAATGAAACTTAAAAAAAATTTTAAAAATAAGAAGTAATGTTAAGCATCTCACAGAGGAAGGAAAAACAAAACAAATCCTCAGGAGAAAACTTAAACAAGAACATTCAAATGAAAATAGTGTTGATCATAATGATAAAAATCAAAGAGAAAATTCAGGATTAAACACACGGTGAAAGCATCAGTCCAATAATCCCTCACGTCTGAAATCCCCCTGCACAGTGTTTCATGATCATAAACACACAACTGATTAAAAATAAGTTAGATCAGGCCATGATCATTGTGGGGACTTTGGCCCCAGCTGTTGCTTCAAATTCTTCTGGATCAGAAAGGTATATCAAATTGAGGTCCATGGCCAAGCTTTAGAGAATCCTAAATTGAAATAGCAATTAAGATTAACTGCCTTTTCCAAGGATTCCTAGTTTTCATCAAATTCCCAAGGGCATCCATGACATCCATGACCTTCCCAAAGGGTTGATAGGGATGGCGCAAAACTATCTGCTACTTGCTTCACTAAAATTTCTTCAAACGCTTTACCAAACATAAATGGCTATTTCTCAGCAAGAAGAGTTTATATCAGAACAAACAGAACTGGTATCAGGTTTCTTTGATGTACCATGAGACTTCTAGAACATAGTATCATTTTTTTTTAAATAAAGCTTCAGTTTACATTTTGTTAAAAGTATTCTAAAAGGCATCAAAGAAATTATGTCATCACATTATAGGAAAAATTCAGAAGGAAAAATAACAGTCTGTTTCTCAACCTTAGATAAGGTGCTTTTAGGCATCTAAGATGATTTCTCAAATGTCCGAATGTCTGATGACATTAGTCAGTGACCCAGATAATTAAGTGCTCCCTGTTTTCTATTCTGATGTTATGTCTTAGGAGCAGAACCCCAAAGGACACACACTCCTCTCCACACTGGGGAAGGATGTGATCAAGGGCTTGATTCGGGAATTCCATGTCCCCTAGACAAATACCAACAACCCCCCCCCCACCATATTTAGGATAATTACATGAATGGTCACCTGACTGATACCATCCCGTGGCTGAGATGCAGAAACCTAGTGACAGCAGGTCTTGTTTGACAAGAGATCTGTTAACCTCTCTCTTTCCCCTAAGGCAGAATTAATTCTGAAACTCTAAATAAAACTCAGAGCCCTTGACAGGCACTGACACAGAAAGACCACATATTTCACTCCCTTTAACGTTTGATTACCTATCTGATCACATAGCAGACGTGGAATTTGATCACCAGTGATCAAATAAAGACGTCAGCCTGATTTGGACCAACTCTTAGGGGTATGCTTAAGGCCCTTCACCCAACTGGTGTCAAACTTCCCCAGAGTCCATTCGCATGCTGTCCAAGGCAGAAGCTCCCTGCTGAGCCATCAGCATCAAGTGCAAAAATTTATAGGAAAAACTGCACATGGGGACCACACTGGAGCAATATGCATTTTGAAAAGCAAAATCTTCAATGGCTAATGTAAAACATCATTCACGTGGAATTTAAGAGGTAAATGCATCCATATAAGTGCCAGGCATATGCTATTTGGAATGTATACATTGTGAAGAAAATAAAAAATGGGAAGATTAGCAGAGTAGAAAGCAAACAAGAATTGCCCTCTGAGAGAGAAGTAGGCCAGCATCAGTGCCATTTGAGTTATGCTATTCCTAACCCTGAACCTTTTACTGCACATGACTGAAGTTCTGGAATATTTTAGAACACTCGTTGCTTTTAAAAAGAAGTCTTTTCACTCTGGTAGGTCACATTACAGACCAGAGACCACAAATTTATTTCAAGTTCAATTTTTTGGTTTTCAAAATCACAAACTTAATTGCAAACACTCCTCCGTGACTCCAAAAGGGAGCTATATGTCACACTGCTAAGAAATCTTTAGTTCCCAACATTACGAGGTAGGAATTTTGTAGTTTAAGCCAGAAAATGGAGATATTGTCAAATTTGAAAAGGGCTGCCTGACAAACAAGGAAGATGTTTTGGTCAGGATACACATGGAGCCCAGCAGATACTGCTTCAGAAAGGCAGGCCAAGGTTGAGCTCTTCTTTTCCCAAGAAACTTCCCCTCTTACTTTCCACCGCCCCCCCTCAAAACCTCCTTTGGGGCCTGGGCTGGGGCTGGGTCTCAGACATTTCCCAGACTATGTTCTGCTGCTGGACCCAAGACACAGGCAGGCAGAGAACTGGGACAGACTCAAGTCTTACCACACGTTTTATGAATTACAGTGCCTGGGAGGCATCAGCTTTAAGGAAAGGCAAAGGCAGAGATAAAGAAAATGTGCAGAAAGTACATAAAGATAAATGCCTGTAAAATCACTGTTGTTTTAATGCATTCCATATTGAGGATATAAAAAATGTGAATATTCTCGATGATTTGATGGCACTAGTGTCCAGCTAAGACCTGTTTGTCCAACTGGATGACTATGCTATTTTTATGCAAATATTTATAGTAGCTGATCCTGATTTTTCAGTTACAGTTCTGGGGACCTGGGTTAGCAAAGAAAAATGCCTTCAAAATGTGGGCCACATCACTTTCTCTCATGAAAGCTAATAAAGATGAGACAGATCTCCTGTGGCCCAACGGCAATGCCTCTCTCTCTCTCTGCAGGCCATGTGACTGTTGAGTGCTACTGGACTAACTTCTTCCTTCTGGCTCATCGTTGGACAGGACTGTTCTCAGTCACTAACCTGTTAGACCTGGGTTCAAATTCTGACTTTGAATCTTACAAACTCTGAAAGCTTTAGGAAGTTACTTAATCCATATAAGTCATAGTTTTCTCATCTATAAAAATATACATAATCTATTACTGTTATTGTAATTGCTATTATTAATATTATCTAGAGCATAGGTAATATTACGCCCTTCAGAGGCTCACAGCTTCTCAGAACAGTAGACTAGGAATCAGGAAACATACACTGTAGTTTTGCCGAATTCTCACCACAGGACCAATCTCCAAGACGTAATTCAACCTTTCAGGGTCTTAGTTTTCTCACCAATAAAAGAGATGTGATGGTAACAGCCCTGTGATCTCACATTAGCTTTTTAAGAAAAATTTTGGTCCTAATATATAATTCCAAAGTAGACATGTAGACACATCTAAAATTAACAGTGTTTTTAAGAACCAGTAGACAGAACATTCCTGCATTTTAAAATTAAAACTAAGCCTTTAAGGATTTTAATTTGTATACTTATCTCGGGAAAAGAAATTCTTGATTTAATCACTAAAATTGGTCACACTGTATCAAAATCTGGTTACCATCAAATTAATACTAAGATTTTTAAGTGAAATATTAATTGATTTAGAGTTTGAATATATTAAATAGTATCCTTGAAAATGTTGAACATTTGAGAATTGACCTATCCATTTAATACACGGCCACTTAATATTGAGAATTTATGGGGCGCCTGGGTGGCTCAGTCGGTAAAGCATCTGCCTTCGGCTCAGGTCATGATCCCAGGGTCCTGAGATTGAGCCCCGCATCGGGCTCCCTGCTCAGCGGGAAGCCTGCTTCTCCCTTTCCCACTCCCCCTGCTTGTGTTCCTCGCTCGCTGTGTCTCTCTCTGCCAAATAAACAAATAAAATCTTAAAAAAAAAATACTGAGAATTTATTTGTTTTAGCATTCAACTATTCCTAATGATGTCACTATCCCACCAGGACTTGGCACCTGAAAAGTATGATACATTTTAAAAGATTGTTAGAGATTCACTTCTAACAAGATTTAAGGTCACAGAGCCGGCACAAAACAGAAGCAAAATTTGAACCCAGATCTTTCTGTCAGTACAGCTCATGATCTTTCCACAGGCCACAGAGAGCTATTCCGCATATGTCTTAAAGTCCTGTCGGGCCTCACAAGTGTCTTGATCAGAGCTGGCAAACATTCACTGATTTATTCAAAATTTGTTGATCTCTTCCATATGGACTGAATCTAAGAAAGACAAATTCTGCCTTACTGCCGAACCAATAAGAAATCCTCAGAGGTAATGGAGTTACGTTATTCAGAAATTCTTTCCTTATATGAAATATAGGAAAAAGCAGTGATAGAAAGCTTAATTTTTAGAGTCTATCTTATACATAAATGCAATATGGATATGATTTATCTGAAAATCTAAATACTCTGGAACCCTGATATAACTTTCTTTGTTTTTAGAGAGAATTTGCTATCAGGTAGGCCTGCTTTAGACCCTATTCAAACATATTTATTTAACAAATGCTGTAAGGTCCTCTTAAAAGATACATCCCAAGATGAATTTGTTGTGGTGTGCCAAAAAACACCCAAAGGATATGAGCTCCTTTCCCTTTCTCCTATCTTGAATGAATTGCCAAATATATTCTTTGCTTGAAACAAACCTAAACCACAAATGCTGTCTTTCATGGGAAAAACGAAAAAAAACAAAAAACAAAAAACTAAGCTTTCAAGTAGTCAGAGCCTCAATTTCTCACACACTTTGCTGGCACACATGCTAGATGAGGGACATCACTCAAGGAACTTGGCCATTACTTTCTTAAACACTTAAGAAGTACATAACCCCTCAAAAGATAAGCCAATTGCCTTCTTGAGTATCCCACAGAAACATAACATCATCCCTAACAGGTCCTGTCCCTCATACGTACCTCATTTCCAACTTGAAAATGAATGTGCATTCCAAATCCACTACAACCTGTGATGGGCAACTAAGCAATCCATGTTCACTCGCTGCTGACAATTCACAACATGACTGCAAAATTTACCTCTCAAGTTCTGCAATCTTCTTGTCCTTGTCATTCTTTTCATTCTCCACCTCCTTGAGGATCTCCAGCAACCGGTCAACTTCCGCTTGGGCCTTGCCACACTCATCACGGTAGTAAGATGCCTCTTTATCAAGTTGTTTTATTCGGTCTGCAAACTCGGGGTTCATCCTGGAGTCATCTTCAACATTATGAGCCTTCAACATTATATTTTTAAAGAATGTAGTTAAGACAACAATTTAGAACAATAGGTAGTGTAGTAACCAATGGCCCAGAAATTATCTTTGGGGAAAAAATAATAACCATCAAGAATTATGGGTATACTGTCAGTTAAAAGGCAAAATGGAAAATCACACATTTCAGCTACCTTAAAACAATGCTGATTTTAAATTTATTACAGTTTCACAGGAGAGTTTCTTTTATTGTTAATATTTTGTTGCATTAAATGTTACTACTTTGGGGTTTTCTTTTCCCCCACCAAAAATTGGGGGATGGGTAGGGGGAGACACCGTGATACCTTTATTCCTGATGCTTTGGCAAGCAGAACTAACACAATTCAACTCCTCACAGTTAAGGAGGTGATTCATACCAACAGCTTCCTTTTCCAGTAGAGAAACTGAGATAAAACAATATTAAATTATTTTTCCAAGAACCATTGAGGGTCTATGTAAAGCCAGGTAACATGTAAAAGACTGGTTGACTGATCACCGAACACCATGCCACTGAGAAATTTCAGCAGATGTAGGTTGAAAGAAAGACTTGCAAGTGAGGAAGGGCTTTCCAGCTAACAGTCATACCCATAAATTCTTGTTCTCTTTATTAAATTTAACCTGAACCAGGAGGAAGATGAGCTAATTCATGAACAAGCACACAGACGAGAATCTGCAAACACATGCATGGGTGGGTGGCAGCTTCTCACACAAGACCATACACAGGCAACAACACAGCAACAACACTGCAGAATAATTTGCAGCCAAAGTATTTGTGGTTTTGTGTGTCTGAAAGTGTGTTATGGCTTTTTTTTTCCCAAAAGAAACTTTTGGCTGAAATATTCTCAGACAGATGGAAATAACACTGCACTGCAATGTTTTGCCTACCCCTTGTTTCCCATTATTCCTAATTGACTTCTTCGAAGAGTAGGCAGGGAAAAAACAAGTAGTTTAACAACAGTGCACATTCAACAGAGAAAGTTCAGAGAAGTCATATATGTATGTATCTCCAAAATCCATGTGTGAAATCATACAATGTTAACAATTTATTAGGACTTAGGTTGTTCTGCTGTCTTGCTCTATAGAACAGATGTTCATTGTGTTTTTATATCTTTTTGTTTAATTTCAGGGAAAAAACAAGGCAAGCAAGCTACAGCTACTGTGGGGTTAAATGAATCATGCATGGTTAGAAAAATTAATACTAATAAGTACTACTGTTACAAGGTTGACAGTTTTTGCAATGATTTAGTTGAAAAAAATTAAAAAATTAGTATAAAAATAAATTTCTTATTTATGACAAAATAATCATTTTTAAAATAATATTCTTGCATGTAACATATTATTTAAGCATGAGGATAGGAGGAAAATAATTTGCTTTCATGTTCTTTAATCTAAGATTTCCTTATTCAAGAAATAAACTCAACTATGCAAAAAGAGCTTGGAGAAATTTATCAATTCAACACTACTATCAGGTACTGGTTTATTCCCTTTTACCAACATTTCTCAGAAAGCATTTATTTTTATTTACTTAGTATATCTATTAGATTTCATTCTAATAGATTAGTGAGCTTTTTTAGTATAATTAAAATAATCTGAAAGAGAATCCTGAGCTAATATGCCTTTAGAAGTTTATTCATCTAACAATTTTATTTTAAATTAATGAATATTTAAATTTGTTAATCTCCATTTTTAAAATGTAGAGTCGATATTCTACTTTAAAAGAAAATACTCCATATACCTATTTCTATTTGTGATAAGAATCAATTCATTACTCTTGTATCAGAAAAGCACTGAAAATATAGTTTTAAAAATTCCTAAGAAAAAGAAAACAAAATATTGATGTTAATTCTCTTCCACTTTTATGCCATATTACCATTATTTTATGGCAACTAAAAAGGTTTTTCATGACATTTTCTCAAACTACCTGAACAACAATATTAAGATCTTTAAAAAAAGAATTCATGAACTGAGCTAGAAACACACAAAACAAATATAAATATCCCTTGATTTCATGTTTCTGATTTGAGTTAAGATTCCTTTCTTGACTCTGATTTAAAGATTCACAAAGAGCTAGCAGTTCAGTTAGCCACTGTGCTTTATTTTGGTTGTTTTTATTCTTATGATTATTATTATCATTATTTTTAGCAAATGGGCACACAATTACTAGTTGTGGGACCTAGATTCTAAATCTAGCCCTGTGTCTTATGACTACTATGGGCAAAGGAGTTAGCCTCTCCAAGGACAGCAAAAGCTACCATATAACAAACACGGAGAAGGTATTATTTATTTGTGTTCTTATTATGAGTATTATTTTATGATATGCATCCCACCAATGGGGCTTGTTATACAGCTAAGTTAATAGGTCTATTTAGTTTCTCATCAAGATACTACATATGTCTTTAGAGAAGCCTCCCTGCTAGGCTTACAGAAAAAGCAGTCTACTAGTGAATGGGTATCTGAGCACATTCTTTATTTTAGCTCTGTGAAGAGAAGATAACCCAAGGCCAGCTTTCGGTACTGGGTGAAATTAGGTGGGTTGGTAGTCTTTTCAACCGAACAAATGAATATGGTGAAAGGACTCATAGGATGTTTAGAAGTACAGAAAGCCTAGGAAGACATGCCTGAATCTAGACCACTGTTGGCCTCATGTGATATTTAAGTTAGATCATGTTATTAAAACAGATCATAGCCAAGCTTACAGTTAGCCTGGTATCTCTTAGATAATACTAGTAGGTGCTAATGATTCTTCCTCTTAAAAGGAATAGGCAACCATAAGAATACCTTTGAGTTAAATACATCTCCATATCAATGATAGGTGCCAGAATTCTTCAAAGGGTTATGAAATAAAGGTGTAAATAGATACCATTTAAAAATTGTTAAGTCAATAAAAAGCTTTAAGAAAGAGTCATATAGAGATGGATGAGTAACAGTTGCTTCTGGGTCATCACTAGTGCCCATGTGAAGACTCAAGGGAGGAGAGTTTCACCTGACTGACAGCTGGTAAGTCCCCGATCCAACCCCAGTAGTGGGGGCAAAAGTCTCCACAGAATTTATCAAAGATATTGCAGGTAACCACCTCTATTCAGCTTGAATCATAACTTTTCAGAGGATGGGCTGAAATTGTTAACCAGTGTAGCATGAGAGTGTTATACTATGATCTACAAACATGAGGGTTATACTATACTAAAGAAATACAGGAGGAAGTTGAGCTTAGAAAGCAATGCTTCCTTCCAAGTTATAAGGCCAGAGCCTCCTCTAAAAATGAAGTGAAGGAAGCACTTTGTTAGCATTTAGCAATGTTCTTGCCTTTTCAAAATATAACATGGGTTCTTTAACCTGGAATGGTAGCTCCTGATGGGGATTAAAAGTAGATAACAGAATTGGACTTAATATATTTTAGACACTGCAGAAAAAAATAATATATATATATATTTGAATAATCATTATCTGAACAAATTCCTACCATGGCATTCTGACCCATTCAAGGTTTAAACTAAAAATACACAGCAATTATTTCTCCTTATGGATCTGTTGACTTGAAATTAGCTCCCCCAAAAGGTGGGGAAGTGACAGCCCATTTCATTCTAAGGCACATCAACTTTGTTCCCTCTTCATTAGTCAGGAATCTAACTCTTGAAAATGCAGACTGATGTGGATTTAATGGTTCTAGAAGCTACTTATTATAAAAATAGGGACGAACACTGTCACTTTCAAAGACATCCACCAGTCATTAAAACCAAAAAAATATGAATGAGCATTCTTTTCTTAAGGTAGAGATTTAATTTTGCTGATTAAGCCAGTCAGTTTATAGGCAAATCCAGGTATTTGGTTATGCCTTTAACATATTTCTGGTAACTTTTAGAGCAACTCTCAAGCATCCCACAGAAACACAGAAAATTGGGAAAAGAATATTTCAGAAATGTCCATATTGCATATTAGATCAGTAAGTTCTGAGAATCCCCCAATTATGTTTTCCTACATTTCCACATGTAAGGAAATTTCCCCACAAATGGGAATAATCAAAACAAACTTTGGAGCCTCACTGATGTGGGCAAGCCTTGGAATTTTGATGTGAACTGACTTTGAAAGCCTGAATCAAGCACAAAAGAGAAATCTGGCCATGACTTAGGACAAGTAGTATATAACAATGCCTAGTGGCTATTTTAATTATAGAATTTAGAACTATTTCAGGAAATAAGGCAAAGTTTCAGGTTAATATTGTATTTAAATTAAAGTTAAGAGCAAAAAGTGACTTAAGCCAAACCAGGGATTGATAGTATCAATATGAAAAATCACAAGTGTATTAATAATTCTCTTGTAAAGGTTGGATGTTGATTATTTTCAATAAAATTCTAGTTCATCATTCCAAGTGCCTAGAAAGGAAAGCATTAACTTTGGCCCAGAAACCTGCTGTGAAACTGGGCAGGGAATATTCAATTATAATATTATATAGCATTCTTTCTTTGAAATGGGGCCTAACAATTTAAAGAAGTCATTTCTTTCAAAATAAACAAATGATTAGTCATGATCATAAAGCACAAGCAGAACACTAACTAATGAGTCTGATGGTTTTTCTTCCCTGCTGCTTGTGGGTTTTAGCAATAATTTGTTAAATTTATACACAGTGAAAATATGATTCTTGATTGCAGCACTTTGGGGGGTTTAAACATTCTTTTCATATCTGAGCATCAGAACAGGGCATATAAACTACTTTAAACATTGTATTTTATTTCAATCTTCTAAAAGAAGTTCCAACCTTCACATAATTCTGAGCTATGAACAAACCTCACTTTTAAAAATAAAGGCTTTAAGGGTGATTATAGAACTTCAACATATTATAAAATTTACATTTTATTTTAAATCCAATTAATTAATTAATACCAAATATAAAAGTTGAGCCTAAATAGTACATTCAGAATCTAATAATGATGTATCTTTGAATCTTGCACTACTTAGTTCTAAAGGAAACTTCTTTTACAATACTAGCT